CAAAATGGTCTTTTTGGGACTGCAGCTGCTCAGATCTGCCAAATTTAAAGGAGCAGCTCCAGAAAGGCATGCTGGGAGGGAAAATCCTATAAGAAGGCAACTCTGCGATGGGAAGATCCATTGTGTCCTCTAAGATGTTCCTAGCAGAAGGTGGGGCACTTGTGTGTTGTACATTAGATAGATGGCAGACATGAAAACTCAATAGACTTTTTTTAAGATACAGTACTTACCTCTGGAACTGATTAATATTTTTCATTTTGCAACCTTCTTGTGACAGAAACTGACCTTCTCGTACATACGTAGCTCAGTTGCAATGCCTGAGTCCCCTCTATGAATCCCGTCTCTGTGCCCCAGTCTCGCATCTGTAAAAGGGGGTTAATAGCACTGCCCTGCCTCTCCGGGGTGTTGTGAGGATAAATACATTGCAGGTTATGAGGAACTCAGACACTATGGTAATGGAGGCTGTACAAGTATCTAAGGGAGATAGGGTAGGGCCTAGCTAGCTACTATGAATAATAATCTATGCCCAGTGTGAAATGAATGTTGTGGGCTCAATCCAGTTCCTAGCAGACAGGTTTCCATGCTATCATATTTGGCCCCTACTCCTGTAAGAACAACCTGTGCAGCGAATTTAGTTGGGGATTGGTCCTGCTTTGAGCAGGGGGTTGGACTAGATGACCTCCTGAGGCCCCTTCCAACCCTGATATTTTATGATTCTATTATTCTAGCCTAAGATTGCCCAATTTATAGCTCAGACAGTCTAATGCAGGCACAGAAGCCAAGAACTGAACTAGCTTGGACACTCAACTACCCCTTCAGCTCATCAAAGGAACCCTCCACCACAGCGGTGAAGCTTATTGGGGTGAAAATTGCGCGGCTGTTGTCTGGGGAGCTGTTCTCTGGAAGGCTGAGTTCAGGCTCCAGTGCTGCTAACCTGGCATTTTTCAAGCAAAGAGTGAACCTCTTCAGGCTGTAGGTATTAACAACAGAACATACTTCAGCGATGGTGTAAACAAGCAACCAAAGCCAGCAGGGAATGCTGTTCTCAGGGAGTGACCTTACATGTGACAGTCCATGAGCCAAAGACCTTCGCTGTATTTAAAAATATTTAAACAAAGGGGGGGGGACTAAATGAAGCGGGGTGGAGGCAGGGAAGAGAATGGTGAGGCGGAAAACCTGGTAATTACAGAGCGTGGAAAGAAGCCAGTAATTTGAGATTTTGGTTTTTCAGGGGGCAACAGCACTTGCGGCTTAGAGCAGGTTGTTAAACATTCTTTGTGAGGGAGACCACAGTAACGTCTATGAGCGCAGGAGGCTGCGTGGGAACGTATAACACGATTAACTGCTCAAGAGGCCTTAGAAACTCCAGCATGCCCATGCAGCGAGAAAGGAAACGCCCATCCCCATATGCTTTACATTCCGCTGAGCGGCTGGCTAAGCGAACTTGCTTTATTTGTGTAGCCCCTGGGGTGCTGAGAACCATGGCAGTCAAGGGGTTAAGTAGAGCCAGGGAGGGTTCAGGAAGGGAAAGCCAGGCCTCATTAACTCTCTGGAATTCTTTGAGGATATTAATACCAGCGTGGACATGGGAAAGGCAGCAGACATCGTATTACCTAGCTTTTCAGGGTACATTGAACAAAGTTCCCCATCAGAGGTCAGTGCCTCGAAACTGGGATGACCGTGTGAGGTGGCAAATCAAGAGTGGGGGGGGGAATGAACAGGAACAAATAATGCGTATGTAATTGGAACCAGTCTAGTGTTTGTATTCAGCAGCAGTGGGGGTGCTGAAAGCCAGCTAACAAAACTGTAAAGCAGTGGTCCCAAAACTTTTTACTTCACCCCCCCACACCCGCCTCACCCCCCAGAGCTGGGGCCGGGAGTAGGCCATGGCTCTGGGGTTGGGGGGAAGGTGCAGAGAGGGATAAGGGGGGCCGAGGCTGGGGCCAGAGGTGGGGGTGTCGCAGAGCCCCATGTGTGGGGCCAGGAGCAGAGCCCCTAGAAGTCCTGCAGCACCCCTGCACCCCTAGTTCCTGTTTGTATTCTTGCCACATATGTGAATGATGGCATGGATTGCAGGCAAATAGACTGGACTTCAGTTTGACTACCGGTGTGACTCGTAGTTTGCAAGATCCAACACATCGGGCTAGTGTCGCAAAAGGACTTAGTTACTTTAGGCACTTAAATCCCAGAATCAGGCCCTTCTGGGATTCACAAAACTCCCGCTCAGCTGCTGCTGAACATTTCAGGTGCCTAACCTTGCTCGGCAGTTACATTTTTGCTGTAAAAGTCCCCTAGGGCCTATGTTTCTGAGCATGCACGCTGCTGTGCCACTCTAGGAGTCCAGACACCTAAGCTCCAGAGCGCTGCACATACCGGGGTGGGGGGTGGGGGAGGATGGGTGTTCCTCTGCCTAACTCAGCTGCAGGGCCATGGGCTATTCCAATGTGGGCTGCCTTCACTGTCGCCTGTTGCACTGTGGATAAATTATGAAAGCATCTTTGGGCCAGAGAGCACATAAGAGAGAGAGAGCACAAGCATGAGAACGACTGTAGCCTGAGGATGAGTGCAAGAATGGGAGACCTAGGATCCAGGCCCCCTCCTCCAGGGCTTTTTAAAACTATTTATCTACAGTGGAACAGTTTCAACAGGAGAGAGTGAGGGAGCCCCACATCAGACCAGCTCAGAGCCCAGCCGTTACTGGAGTTGCCTGACAGGTGGCAGAGGCCTGGTCAAAAGCCTTCTGCCCCTGAGGGGCAGAAGGAATTGAACTGGGTGTATCCCCTGTCCCAGGTGAGTACCCCGACCACCACTACAGCTTTCCCTATAGCTTCTTGTAGCTACAGCGTAGGTGCCTAACTCCAAGACAGGGTTTGCAGCTGAGACTCCCAAGCTCAGAGAGGTGCTTCCATGCAGCTAGGACTTCTGCCTCTCAGAGCTACATTCCTGGCTTGGCATCTCCCACTGGCTAGCTTAGGCATGGAGCCGCATAGCATGCTGGCTTTTGTGAATCCCATTCTGACCCCCGTCTCTCCCCATTCATTTTGTAGGGAGGCTAGGCGCCTACCTCAGGCTTTGGGATTCCCAGTGATTTTCTAAGGGCCTACAAGTTAGGCACTGTGATGCTTAGTGTCACCAGACCTAGTTTTAAATCTAGCCCCTAATTTCCATATTTGGCGATCACGCTGGGCTCTGGACCTGTGCTGGTAAAGCCATCATGCATGTTTATGAAAAGGCTACAATGCTCCATTGGTTCCAGTTAAAGACCCCTCATTGAATTGTTACTATTCCAAGGAGCAAGAAGTTCTCAGATGAGTTGGTGAGAGGTACGCACTGTGTCCCAAAATACTTAACTAGTAAATGGGGTGCCATATTCATACATAGTGTTTATGAGGCCCCCCAGCACCACATTAGCTGTGCACCTCACAATCTGCAATGTATTTATCCTCCCAGCACCCTTGCAAGGTAGGGAAGTGTTTTTATCCCCATTTTACAGATGGGCAACTGAGGCACAGGCCCCAATCCTCAAAGGTATCCAGGCAACATTGATTTCATGGGTGTTAGGTGCCTAATTACCTTTGAGGCTCTGGGCCAGGGAAAGTGAGGACCAGATTTTTAAAGGTCTTTAGGCCCCTAAGGATGCAGCTAGAGACCTATTGGGACTGTCAAAAGCATCTGTGTTTGAGAGTTAAGCACTTAGGCCCTTTTTAAAATCACACAAGTCACCTAGCTCCATCTTTAACCACCTAACAACTTGGCCCTATGTCTTGTGCAAGGCCACATAGGATGTCTGTGGCAGAACACCCCTGTTGCGTTTTCTGGGATGTACACATTGGGAGAGGGCAGTGCAGGGCGGGACATGTTGGAGGGATCACTTGGGAAAGAGAATACAACCAAAGATGCATTACTTTTTCTATGACCGCAGCCACGTTCAGGTGCATGTCCCTTTAAGAGCAGGAGAAGCCTTTGCTAGGAAAGGTTCTTAAACGTCGGGGGCATGGCTCTCCCCCATTTAAAAAAAGTGGGACAATGGCTCTTCCCCCCCCCGCTTTGTTCCTATGAGGAAGAAGACAGCACACTGAACTCGGCAGGGACGCAATGGTGGGGGAGCCCAGGGCCCAGGCTCCCCCTTTAGGCACTGGGTGACATACCAGCGAAGCCCCTTCCCTGCTCGCCTGAGGGAGGGGCGGCCAGGTCAAATTTAAGTGGCTTCTCTAAGGCCAAGTCTACACCACAGTGCTACATGGGCACCACTGTAGTGCATCTGGGGAAGACGCTGTGTGCCGATGAGCAAGCGCTCTCCCGTTGGCATCGTTACTCCCTCTCTGGTGGAAGCTATGTCGGCAGGAGAGCATCTCCCGCCAGCATCCCACTGGGTGGACAGCACTTAGGTCGCTGTAACTTAAACCAAATATTGAGGGTCACAATATGAAGTGCCACAGGCAGAGAATCGGAGGGACTGAAGTGTAGCCCTGCAATGGCAGGGAAATGATTGACATATACCCAGATAAGACTGGCAAGCGATACCCACCCACATGCTCAAGAGCAACACAACCTCCTCCCTCAAAGTTGTTGTCAATCTAACCAGGAGAAACATTCCTTCTTGACCCCACATATGACGATCAGTTAGACCCTGAGCATGTGAGCAAGAATTAGCTAGCCACGCACCATGTTTGGTGCCACCTCCGGTAGAGGGGTGTGTGTGTGTGTGTGTGTGTGTGTGGGTGTGTGTGTGCTAAACCCAAGTTAAAAGTCAAGTTGCTGTGTCCTCACTGCTTTTTTAATCTGCTGCGTTGACTAACCTGAGTTAAGAACACACTTTCTTTTGCAGTCGAGACGTACCCTTAGACCAGTGGTGGGCAACTTGCAGCCCACGGGCCACAGGTTGCCCACCACTGCCTTAGACGCTTGTGTCAGCTTTGAGTGGCTGCAAAAGCTCGTTGCTCTTCCAAAGTATCTTACTGCAGCGAAGCGTGAGCCAAGAGCAAGGATGCAACTTAAAATAGATATAAACAAAGCAGAGTTTATTTTGCATTTATTTCCCATCCTGCTGGCATATTTGGCCCATTCCATCCCCCCATTTTCCTCTGGTAAATACAAACCTTTTCTTTTATTTTTTTAATAAAATATATAAAACATTGTGCATCACTATCCATGGAAACCTGTAGTTTAACAACAGAAAAGAATAAGGCACATTGCTGTGCAGCCTCTTCAAATATATATCTAGATATCTCAACTCAAAACAAACAAACCCCCTTTCAACCTCTTTGAGGCTGTTTAACATTTCACCCATCACTGACACATCTCCTATAATACCATAATTTCATTGTTGGGAGCAGGTTGGTTTGTGAGTAAGGAGATGGGGAAACATACTAAAAAAAAAAAGGATTTTATCCCTGAGGTGTCAGTAAAAAAATGCTGCCACTGAAAAGCAAGATTAAAACACCATCTTAAATAACAGGACACACTGTTGAACGTCCAAGCACCAAGACGATTTCATGGCATAAGAATCCCCACATCTTATAAAGTCACTTTTTTTAACTAGATTAATCTCATGGCTTCCAAAGTCACAAGACAGTCACTCATCATGCACTTGTGCCTCCCTCCCCATGTTATCTTTCCTTTAGCGGACCCAGAGTCTCAGTTTGCTTTCGATTCTCCTGAAATCTTTGGGGAAAGCAGAACACTGATGGTTTCCCTGGCAAGCATGAGAGCAGCATTTGTACCGTAGTGTGCCTCCCACCCACTGCTGAACTACACCAAGAGGAGAAGCTGGCATCCACCTCTGCTGTGACCAGACTGATTCCAGAGAGAAAATCCTGGGGGGTGATTTCCTAGTGTCGGTAGCAATATGTCAGGGAAAAGGGGAAGGTGAAAGCTTTATTGCTGTCCATCCACACTGCTCCAGTTAGCCCTTCTGAAAGGAAAAGGGGAGACACCAATGTCACACTCCTTTCCTCTCTCTCTTTAGCAGGCCCAGGAAGACCAAGGCTGCAGTACCGGACTGTGGGATTTCCCAACACTTAGTAGTAGCGGTTCAGGCTTCTGGTCCCCGGTATGTCCGGCTGCCCATTCATCCAAATCTCCCGGATGATGCGCTCCCGCTCTTCCAGCCTCTGAGCCCTCTCCAGCTCCTCGGCCGAGGTGAAGACATTCATGTTCAAAGTCCTTTCGAACCTGCGGTGCCTGCGGGCTGACAGGTCTGAAGTGGTGTCCGAATCGTCCTCGCTGTCACTGCTCTCGCTGTCACTCTCCGGTTCCTGAGGCGGCTTTTTCCCCGGGGATCGTTTGCAGTCAGTTCGGCAGGACACCTTCAGCACCAAGGCCAGCAGGGTCAAAATGAGTCCGATGCATACTCCAGAGACGAAATACAGAGCGGCACGCTCAGGATTTTCTGCAAGGAGAAAAGAAATTATTTTCAGAGGACCAAGGCATCACATAACTTGGTCACACGGGGCAGCTGCACAAGTTTAAACAGCCCCAAGTTTCTTCAGAGGTTCAGATCCCCTTCACTCTGCACAAGCTATCAGACCAAGTGCCCACTTTGTACCTCCTCCTTTCCTATCTCTGGACCTTCTTTCATGCTGCCCCATATACCTGGCCCTACTACTTGACCAGTCCATCTGCTTCCACTCCCTCCCTGTTCAAGCCCCTTCTTAACACCACATTTCTCTAAGGAGAACCCAACCTGGGGTTCTAACTTACTGAAACAGATATGCGAGAACAAAGACATTTCAATCCATGGAATTGACAAAATGGGTGCTGAGTCTCACTGTTCAATTGTACAGCTGTCTGTTGCTGCTCTGGCACCCTGCTTTGTTTGTCAGGTCTCTATTTAGATTGCTCTTTGGAGCAGAGAGCTTGGGTGAAATCCTAGTAAAATTGCCACCGACTTAAATGGAGCCAGGATTTCACCCTTCATCTTCATCCCTACCTACAAAGCACCTGACCCTGCTGCTGGCACTATACAAATAAACAATAATGGTACGAGATTAGAGATTCTTTAGGACTGGGATTTTCAAAGAGGCCTAAGGGAGTTAGGTGCCTAACTGCCATTGACTTGAACGTCCCTGAGTAAACTGCTCCATCCCATCCCATATTCCCTTGAAATTGCCTTTTGGATTGCAGGGTCCAGGTGGGTTGTTATTTTGTGCAGAAATTAACTTCACCCCTAAACTTCATTTTCAAGTGAACACATGGAGGGCTCCGAGGAGTGGAAGAGAAGGGGTTAGCTGGACTGATTTGCACTGGCAGAATTGCTTATGGTTTGCCTCTTCTATGCCTGGCTGATATGATTAGACAAACCTCACTTGTATGAGCACTAAATTCACATACACATACAGGCTCATTTTTTAAAAAATATACCTGTTGCATCAGTTCCATAGCTCACTCTTTTGACACAATTCATAAAATGCAGAGTGTGGAGCCTGGAATGGACTGAAAACATATTATTTCTCTTTCCCTTTTGCCAGTTTCCTTCTTTCTTCCACACTCACTCTCTCCACTGTTCTAGCTACCATGGGCAGCAAGTGAGCGAACTGAAATTAGATTGCTTGTTAGCCAGTAATTTTTTATACACGACACACAACTCTAAACAGATAGTCCTTCATTCAGTACCAATGCAGTAATTGAATCTTTGGGCTCTGCTGGTATTCATGAGCTATATTAGTTATGCCATCAGCATTCATAAATGCTGGACACAAGCTGGACTCCTTCACTGAACTGTCACCCTGCAGACCTGGCATGTATCAGTTCATATAGCCAACCCAGTCACACAGCAGCCATCCTCCCAAAGCATGTGTCTTTTTGCACAGCAAAGGGGCAATTTACGCCAACAACATAGCTCTGAAACAGCTAAATCATCAATGGCCAAGATTCTGGATTTTGAAACGTGACTAATAATTTGGGGAGCCTCCATTTTTAGGTGGCCAACTTGAGAAACCTTAAAGGGGGGGGGCCTAACTTTCAGAGGGTGTGTTTTCAGCCTTTCTGAAACTCCGGCCTCTTTTCAGGCATTTCAAGTTTGGCAGTCGAACACGAAAGCACCCCGAATCGCTATTCATTTTTAAAAATATTATTAGCATTATTATTTGTATGGTGGTAACACCAAGGAGCCATACTGGTCATGAACCAGGACCCCACTGTGCTATGCACTGTACAATACAAAAACCCTATCCCTCTGCCGGAGAGAGAGAGAGTGAGTGTGTGTGAGCGCGTGCACCAACTGACCTAAAATGGTGAGTTTGGCCAAATATCCTTGCCTTACAACACATAAAATGTAAATTAGACAGATACAGTACATGGGCTAACTCTTAAAATGTAAGAAAGTGTGAAGCAGTCACTTTCAATAAAGTATAATTAATAGGAAACTGCACTATCCAGGGCATTAGACATGGGTGACTTGCTTTACAAATCAAACAATACGGATCAATCCTTGACAATCTTCATCGAGGGTCATATTTTGTGGTCTTTCATTGAGCAGAATTCCTCCTATTGAATACAGAATCACAGATGTTGCCCTGAGAATGGCCACACCTGTGCACTTTCAGTCTGTTAAGTGTAAGGGTTTTTTTTTTTCAGAGCAGTTTTCAGGGTGTGAATGCGGGAAGGAGAATGGACTTCAAACTCTAACTATGCATTTAAAAATAGATGTGCTCACTGCAAGTTTCCAAGTGCGGGGGGGAAGGGGGTCCTCTGACCCGCTGGCAGGAAGAAAAGGGGCATTATCCCTTTAAGGACTCCCCCTACAACAGGGAAAGGAGGGGGAATGTTTGCAGAGGCAGGCAGGACAGGCAGGAAGCAGTTGGGGCCAGGTCAGGAGAAGGTCACTGCACAGTTCAGGTTCAGACTGCCTGAGTGCCGTAAGCATCTGTTGGCTGTTTAGTGAAAGGACTTGGTAGTGTCAGTCCAGATTCCAGTAGGCAGATCACAAAGCACAATATCAGACTGGGCACTAATTGGCACGCCTGTCACCAGGCTGCAAGGACCGTATTAGCACAGGGAAACAGTTCCGAAGGGCCTGAGACCCAGCTCCTCAAAGGCATTCAGGGACTGAGTGCCAACTGGTTTCAGTGGCAGTTAGGCATCTAACTACCTTTAGAGAGCGAGGCCTCAAGGGACACAGGGCTTGTCTACGCTTGCAGCTTGTCTACACCTGCCCCAGCCCTGAGCCCCCTCCCGCACCCATATTCCCTCCTGGAGCACACATCCCAACCCCCTGCCCCAGCCCAATGAAAGTAAGTGAAGGTGGGGGGAGAGCGAGCAGCTGGAGAGAGTGGGGAGTGGGGCCTCAGAGCAGGGGCAGGGCCTCGGGGAAGGAGCGGGGCAAGGGTGCTTGGCTTTGTGCAATTAGGAAGTTGGCAACCCTACCAAAGACTAACCCACTCTCTCCCCCCGAGTCCTTCCAAAGCAGAGTTGAGGCATGCTGGCAAGACAGTTGTTGCTTGTGCTGTACCCCACCATGTGGCTAAATAGTGGATTTCTGTCTCCTGGATTGTCAATCCAGCACATATACTAAAACCCATTAAAAATTAAATAAAATATATTCTACTTTTCTCATTACAAACTATTTCTGGCTCTTAGATAGCCCCCATTGCTGTAGTAACTAAGCACTTCAAAATCTTTAATATATTTATTCTCACAACACCCCGGTGAGGTAGGGAAGTGCAATTAACCCTAGTTGAGAGTTGAGGAACTGAGGCATTGGGTCCTGAATGCACGTTAGGCACCAAAATCCTTATTCCTATTCCACTGTGGATTAATACTTACATAGTCATTGGGCAAGAACACAAGAATAAGCCTATAGGCCAGTGGTTAGGGCACCCACCTGGGATCTTGTCCCCCTAATCCAACAGATTTCATTATTTATCCACAGTGAAACAGCCTTCAGCAGGAGAGATTGAAGGAGCCCTACATCAGACTGTCCTGCTGGTCTGTGTTTAGACACGCACACATGTGAATGCTGGAGACTTCTGTTCAGATCCCTTCTCCCCTTTTGGCAAAGAGAGGGGAACTGAGGCAGGGTCTCTCACCTCCCGGGCAAGTGCTCTAACCATGGGGCTAAAAGTTATAAAAAAGGTGGGTACCCCCAACCCAGATTTTCCATGAGACCCGATCCACTAGGCAGCTTCTAAGCATCCCTACAGGATCGGATGAACGCCTGTCTTTCCTGGTTTGTGAATTGCTCTGGGGCTTAGGCAGGAGATAGGTGCCCGGACACTCGGAGAGAGGAAGCAGCGTGCGTGCCCAGAAACAGAAACATAGGTGCCCAAGGAACTTCTACCCTAAAAACTTAAGCAGGGTTTCATGCATTGCCGTGGAGCCAAAACTGACATGTAGACAGCTAATTCCTTTTGTGCATTCGGGCTTATGTGATTTCCCCAAGGTCACAGAGGAAGTCACAAGCAGAGCAGGAAATTGAACTCAGATCTCCTAACATCCAGGCTAGTATCCTTCCCCTCAGTGTAGATCATGCATAGGATGGGTATCAATGGTCTGCATTTAAGGCCTCTCTAAATAGACTTAATGCTTGCTGCCCCCCACCCCCACCCCAGGGTCCTGATTCAGCAAACCACTTAAACATGTCCTTTACTTTTTGTGCATGCTTAAATCCTATTGTCCTCCTTGCGATTTACGCACATGCTTAAACACTTTGCTGAGTCACAGCATATATCCATTGGTAGATTGTTCCATATGCCTCGTGGTGTGAAGAAGTCCAAGTTTACAGTATTATCCACTGTAAGAGATTCCTCCCTCATTTTTTGATGACATCTGTGAGTTACATTCTTCCCCTCTGCGTTAATCAAGACCCATCCTGGAGTGCCATGCAATCTCCTTAGCAATTATTAGCTTTTCCCCTCTATGGTGCCTCTCTCTCTGGGCTGGGCATGCAGCTGAAAAGGTCGTTGATTGAAGACTGCTCAATCACTTCTTTTAATGTATGTAGCCAAAAGGCGCATGCCTCCCCTCTCCCCCTGGTCCCTGTCTTTGGAACGCACACAGTTTTCTAGAGGCTCCACACCAGCCAAAATTAGAAACACATTTTTTTAAAAAGCAACCAAGCAAACAACAATTATTGAGGCGATTTCCTGTGGGCTAATGATCAGCTAGGAGCATCAGCCCAGACGGTCATTAATTCTCCAGGAAATGGCCCAGGCCAAGGTTGTTATTGCTATTATAGTGCTTTATTTTCTTCTTGTTGTTTTAATAAATAAAAATTAATCTATGCAATGCTGCAGCTGATTTCCTGTGATGGCATCAGGCCCTCAGAGAGCTCAGCGGGGAGGAGGAGCTCCTCATTAATGTCGCTCACTGCATCTCTTCTAAGGCACAGCAGCCAGTTGGACTCCCCATGTTAGGACAGCGATGTAATGGAGGGGACTCGCAGGGAGCCCCCTGTCTAACTTCTAGCACCAGCAATTTCAGAGGGAAGTTGGTCTGAGCTCCCCAGGATTTTTTGTTGGGAGCCACTCGTTACCATATTGGCAGCACGTCGCTGTTTATGGGGAAGTTATGGTGTCCCTCCCCCTTATATTTTTAAAGAAAATTTCTGCACAAATCCTGGAGATCGAGGTCCTCTGCCCACAGAACAGTTACAGGGTAAATAGAGGCACCATCCCTGCTGCTAATGCCCTGCCACCCTGATCTGCAGGGACGTCCCACCTCTAGGTGGAAGTTGGTCACTCAGTTTCCATGCCCGCTCAGTTCTAGGCCAGAGAGGATGCACTCAGGGACAAACGGGACAAGAGCCAATTGAGTACTATACAGCTAGAGGGATGATTTTAGGTTTGTTGCTATGTTCTTGGTCACAATTATAGATCCGAAGCCCAGTGAAGCCAGCAGGAGTTTTTCCATAATAAATAACAATTCTGTAGTTTGCAGCTACAGACATTATGTAACTAAGAACCTAATTCTTCAAAGACTTGCTGCAAAGTTACTTGCATACCAATCTTTAAAGTCAAGGACCGAGTCCTAAATCTGACCAGTTTACCAGATGATCCTATATAGTAAAATCACCAACTATTGATATTCTTCTATTTTCTTTGCAAATTTCTATAGAAATATTACGTTAAAACTTCTGTGGGGTCGCATGAAACAAATAAACACAAATTCCTTTGTGGCTGGAATTCCAAAGGACCCTGACTAATCGTGTGGAGGGCCATGAGCAGATTGATAAAGAAAGCAAACACTCCCACAAGTGGTTCTGTGACCTGCTATACTGGCTTTTTGCACTCCTTTGCTATTAATAGGAACATTGCATCTTTACACACAGACTTCAAGCAGAAAGATACAGGGGATGGCCAGGACATGTCCCTTTCTATTTGCATCTAACTTTCCCACCTGCTGCATGACACGGTACATGCCAACAGGTGCTAGTGGCAGGTGTTTGCAGTCTCTCCATCTGCAGCTGCCCACCCACTTCCCATGGATTTGGTCTGGAAATGCTTGCACAGGTCAGTATAGTCAGCTTCTGAATGGCTTTCCTCAAGCTGGGACTGGAGGTAGCTGTAGTCAGGAAATGAAGCTTCAGCCCTGTTTTAGTCTGCTGCTTGGAGGCACGACAGACAGGTGTGCAGCAGCATGGTGCTGTGAAACACGGAGGGCCCATAACTCCCATAGACTTCAGTGGGGACTGAGGGTGCACATCACCTTGCAGGACAGGCCCCCAAAAGAGAATGGTTTAAAAAAAATTGTCACCTATAGCCCTTGTGTCTTTATTGCTAGCTCAACCAGGTTACCAGCACAGAACAGCCCTAAATCTCGCAGAATCCCAGCTCAAAAGAGATTGTGTCCCACAAGAAAAATATAGGCCAGAGTTTTACTGTGGAAAAAGGAAACATAGTCCATGGTACTTTTAGCATAGTCAAAAGACCTAGATTCTAGTCCCAGTTTTCCCTGACTGACTGTAAGTCCTTGTGTGAGTCACTTTTAACTTTTCCCCAACTATAAAATGACAATATCAATAATAACCTGCTTTACAGGGAAGTTGTGAGGATTAGAGACGGCTCCAGGCCAAATTCTAGATTTGAGCTGCAAACTTGGGCAAACTTTAGATCTCAGAGCAAATTTCATGTGTGACTTCTCCATAATCAACTAAACCCCAAATCCAAAAAATGCCAGAAATGGGGGTGGGAAGGCTGGTGAAAGAAGGATTCAGATTCAGGGCCAGAGTTTGTGGCTTGAGTGCATCTCTATTGAAAATTCATTAATGCTTGAAAAATGCTTTCAGGGCTTTTAATGGGAGGCACTACAGAAACACAAACCTTTATTATGTTACCATTATATTTCTAACTATGTCTGTTTGACCTGTTAAACTGTATTTAATCCACATTAGCAGAAAGGTTAAAACAGTCCCCTAATCATGGGTAGCACTCATGGGGATAGAGCCTTAGTCGCACAAAGATATGCTGGACATTCTTCTGGGCAGACTAAGATCCAGCATTCACAGGTTTGGGTTTAGAGCAGGGGTGGGCAAATTTTTTGGCCCGAGGGCCACTTCTGGGTATGGAAATTCTATGGCAGGCCATGAATGCTCACAAAATTGGGGTTGGGTGCAGGCTATAGGGCCAGAAATTAAGAGTTCAGGGTGCAGGACGGGGCTCCAGGCAGGGGGCAGTGGAGTGCGGGGCTGGGGGGTGAGGACTCCAGCTGGGGGTGCGGGCTCTGGGGTGGGGCTAGGGATGAGGGGTTTAGGGTGCAGGAGGGTGCTCCAGGCTAGGACCGAGAGATTAAAGGTGGGAGGGGGATCAGGGCTGGGGAAGGGGGTTGGGACATGGGGGGTGAGGGCTCCAGCTGGAGGTGCAGGCTCTGGGGATGAGGGGTTTAGGGTGCAGGAGGGTACTCCAGGCTAGGACCGAGGGGTTCGGAGGGCGACAGGGGGATCAGGGCTGGGGCAGGAGGTTGAGGTGTGAGGGTGGCTCAGGGGTTCAGGCTCCGGGCCGTGCTTACCTCAAGTGGTTCCCGGAAGCAGTGGCATGTCACTCCTACACGGAGGCGCAGACAGGTGGCTCTGCTGCGTGATGCCCCATCTGCAGGCGCTGCCCCTGCAGCTCTCATTAGCCATAGTTCCCGACCAATGGGAGCTGTGGGGGCAGTGCTTTGGGTGGGGGCAGTGTGTGGAGCGGGGCCTCCTGTCTGCCCCTACGCGTAGGAGCCGGAGGGGGGACATGCTGCTGCTTCCGGGAGCCACACAGAGCGGCCACCGACACCTGCTCCCTGGCTGGAGTACTATACACAGAAATCAGGTTTCAGAGTAACAGCCGTGTTAGTCTGTATTCGCAAAAAGAAAAGGAGTACTTGTGGCACCTTAGAGACTAACCAATTTATTTGAGCATGAGCTTTCGTGAGCTACAGCTCACTTCATCGGATGCATACCGTGGAAACTGCAGAAGACATTATATACACACAGAGAAGTTCTCAAAATCTAGGTACATCTGCCAAAACTAGAATTCCAAACCTTGTGCTGGGAACCAAAACACAACAGCCTTGTGCTCGTGCATGAGACCCAGAGAATGACACCGAAGGGAAATAAAAGTGACCGAAGCTTTGTGCCATGAAAAAAAGAAAGCTCAAAATTGTTTGTGTTTTAATCATTTTGGCCCTGATTCTGCCAGATTTATCCCTGTGCTTCCCTTGTCTTAGCCTCATTGCAGTCAATGGGTTTATTCACCATGTGCAAAGTTACACACATGCATGTGTCTTTTTAAAATTGGGCATTACGCTGTTAGCAAGACGGGTATGCATTTTTAAAAAAAACAACAAGGGTCAAGATTCAGTCCTGCCCGGGGAACGGCCAGCAAACTGTATGCCCTGTCTCTGTTACGCTGGAGGGAGGGGGCTCCCGTCTGTGGACAGTAGTTTTGCAATTCCAATTATAATTCTGGAGGAGCCCCTCTCCCCCAGCAGAAGCTGGACTAACAAAAGTGGTGAATCAGTACATCTCCTGGCCAGCCTGACCCTGTGCTTTGTGGGGCTGGCTCCACCCACTTTGTGGGTAGCACCAACCAGTGCTGGTCTCTGATACAAACAGGAGCTGTGGACAGCTTGCACTACTGTGCCCCTCATTCTAGCAGGCTTTCTGCTTTGGGAGGGCCCACCCCCTGGCTGCCCCCTCGCAGTGATTCTGGCTGATGAGCTTCATGATGAGAGTGACTCTTTAAAATAAATGTAAATGGAAGAAAGCTCCTGTGTTACATGAAAGACATATGACAAGAAAAAATGTGGATGACAGCTAAGCTGTGATCGGAGGAAATCTTTCCCTACATTAGATTTAAATATATAATTACACTAAGCAGAAACTTCATCTTCACACTTCCACTGAAGATAAGCCAAATTCTCTTAAGTAGGGTAATGATCTTAGTGCTGCTTATTTTCCAAATTACAGGACAAGCTTGCCTTCTTAATGAGCCAGCCTTTGATCTCAAGGAAAAAGGCACATTAGAAATAATACCGTATCTAAGATTACATTGTATTTAACTTCAGATGAGAGCAAGTCCAAGGGAAGGCAGAACACAATACAGCCTGTTATATACAGTCAACCCTTCTCTAGAGCTACACTGGTCAGGTCTTTCAAGGGAAAACCTGCTGAGAGACAAATGGGAAAATGAACCTCTGAGAGAAATACAAAGGGGCAGATTGTGCCCTCACTTACGCTGGGGCGCCCCACTGAGAGTCTTAAAAGACATTACAGCAGCCCAGAGACGAAGCAGGTGAGAGACCTACCTGTGATAAAGGAATACGCTGCTAGGATGTTGCTGAGCAAGGCCATCTCTGTGCTAACGCCCACGGGCTCCATGCTGCTGTTATCCACTGGCCGCTGTGTCTCATCCACTGGAAACAGCAAGGGGCTGTTGTCTAGCGGGTAAAAGGCAGCCGACCTCCCTTTCTTCTTCTCTGTTTTGAGTGAGGGAACAAGCACGTCAGTTTCAGCATTGCCCTGCCCTAAAGCAATTGAACCTGCTTCTGCATTCAGAAATCTGGAGCCAGTCACTGGCAATGCCACCCAAATCTGCCGCAGTTAGGCAGCTGGACCTTCTCGGTTAGCTTCGGCTGAGAGCACACGGTGGATTCAAGGCAGTTTCTGTGTTAGCTACCAGGCAGCATCTCCTCTCCCCTATATCCTTCTCTTTCACATCCCCCGTTAGACACACCCAGATGTTTTACAGCAAATATATAATCAGGTTGTTTTTTTTTTTTAAATCAAAGAGCCTTTATCAATGCTGGGTTCCACTAACGGTGTAATAACTCAGCACATGAGCTTGGAAGACACAGACAGGGTCGGCAACACCTCGCTTGCATCTCACTGTAATTCTAGAGTGATCTACACCTGGCAAGCAGCACTGCTTTCCCTCCAGCCTTATTAAGGGAAGGGCGGATCTTTGCCTGCGTTTATGACTTCCTTCAGAAGCATGCTTTCATTGTGTTTCACTGAGACATAATTTCCCGTTCAGAGAGGTGAGGGAACATGGGTTAATGATTTTATTTTATTTGTTGAAGACTGGAGCTGAGAAGGCAGCTAATTCCAGAAGGCTGAAAGAGACCCTTTCAGACCTTATCAGATCACTGCTAAGAACTGGCTGTACCTTGATCTGCCTGCAGACACCACAACCAATGGCAAAATACTAATTGTTTCAAACACATTAAAAAGTCAGCCCATAGAGAGTGCTCCATCATCCACCTATGAGTGTGCAAAAGCCAACGGCTGTTAAACCTTTTAAGACTCCTGTCCCTGTGTATCTGGTACAGGCTGCAAACAAACAGTACACAGTAGCTGGCAATTGCATCTGGCTTCCACTTATCTGCTAGTATTAAGTTCAGGAAACTGACAAATTCTGGTGCATGAAATACTATTACTGCTGTGGGAGCAAAGTCACTTTCAACTCCAGCCTGCAGCGCATGAAAGTCCACGTTTGTTCACTGTCTCTCTGTGTTTGCATTTGCACCGCTCACACCCAAGGTGAACGGTTACATTGTTCACTTCGTACTGTACCTGCCTGGAAGCTGTGTGGCCCTCCGAGGTCAGCGACAAAGATTTGGGAGTGAGGGGGAAATAAGTTAATTTAAAATGTCGGCAGGGGTGATGGCTCAGGTGGATAAATGCCTGTGTGGTGCTGCATCCTATTAGTGTGGCTTCAGAGATTCACAGAGTCCAAGACCAGAAGTGCTCATCTAGTCTGACATCCTGTATAACACAGGCCATAGAACCTCCCCCCAAAAACTCCTAGAGCAGATCTTTTAGAAAAAACATCCCATCTTGATTTAAAAATAGTCAGTGATGAAGAATCCACCATGACCCTTGGTAAATTGTTCCAACTGTTAATTACTGGTTTCAGAGTAACAGCCGTGTTAGTCTGTATTCGCAAAAAGAAAAGGAGTACTTGTGGCACCTTAGAGACTAACCAATTTATTTGAGCATGAGCTTTCGTGAGCTCAGCTGTAGCTCACGAAAGCTCATGCTCAAATAAATTGGTTAGTCTCTAAGGTGCCACAAGTACTCCTTTTCTTTCTGTTAATTACTCTCACTGTTAAAAATGTAAGCCTTCTTTCCCATCTGAATTTGTCTAGCTTCAACTTCCAGCCATTGGATAGTGTTAGACCTTTCTCTGCTGAACTGAAGAGCCCATTATTCAATCCCCATGTAGCTACTTACAGAGCATAATCAAGTCACCCCCTTAATAATCTTCTCTTTGTCATGCTAAATAGATTGAGCTCTTTGACATTCTCTTTATAAGGCAGGTTTGCTCATCCTTTAATCATTCTCCTGGCTCTTCTCTGAACCCTCTCCAATTTATCAACATCCTTCTTGAATTGTGGGCACCGGAGCTGGACACAGTATTTCGGCAGCAGTCACACCAGTGCCAAATACAGCGGTTAAAATAACCCCTCTGCTTAGAGCTGGATGCTGTGGTGATGTCTAGCTGTTAGAGTAGGAGACTGGCCATTGGGAAACTTGGGTTCTGTTTCCAACCCTGCCACTGAATGACTGTGACCTTGGGCAAGTCATTTAAGCAAAAATTTTCAAACATGGATGCCTGAAGAGAGGGACCAAAGGGGAAATTTTAAAAAGGACCTCAGATTTAGGAGCACTATTCCCATTGAAAGACAGTTTTATAGATGAACAAACTAAGGCACAGAGGGGTAAAGGCGGACATTTTCAATAGGAAATTCAGTGGCACGAAGGGCGCTTTTGAAAATCTCCCCCTAAATCCACATTTAAGCATCTTAATAAATGCCTTGATCTTCCCCATTCAACTCCTAATGTGAAACCAAAGGAAGTGATGGGTGCTCAGCACCTTCAAAATCCAGGCCATTTATCTAGGTGCTTAATGTTGGGCCCCCACGTTTGGATGTAGTGTTCTTTAATCACTCTGTGCCTCAGTTTCCCTAGCTGTAAAATGGCAATAATGCCTACCTCAATGAGATATTGTGATAACTTTTATAAGGCACTTTGACAATCACAGATAACAAGCTCTACTGGAGTGTAATTCTTATTATTGTCATGTCAATTGTCCTCAGCCCAAGGTCTGAGCACTTGTGAAGGGTATTTGGGCCTTAACCTAGTAACTCTCGGAATGTAGAGCCTTCAAAATGCCATTCCCAGCCCCAGATTATTGATATGGCAGGAAAGGTAGTAAGCGGAAGTGCCACATATTTGGGGAATAAAGCGGAGCTGAATGGGATGCTGAATAAGTCGGAGAAGAAAATGTAAAAGGAGCCCAGGTTGTGGCTCTGTTAATTTACAGTGTTTTGCTTTAAAGGTGGTGTTTCTAAAGGGATTGTGACTTACCAAAGTAGCCATCTTCAGGGAACTGAATGGAGGAGATATGGGAAAATTTGACTCTCCCTAAATAACTCTAATTATTTATTAATCTTATTTCTATTACAGTAGCATCTAGGAAGCCCAGTCAAGGATCAGGGCCCCATTGTTCTGGGTGCTGTGCAAACAACTAACAAAGAAGGCAATCCCTGCCCCAGAGCATTTACAATTCAGGTGTCAACGGAAAGAGAAAACTGACCAATGGGGTGGCAGCTGGTGGGAGGGCGAGGTAATAAAACGAAGAGAGTTTAGCAGAAAAACTGAAGTCTCAGCTCACCATTTGCCTCGCCGATGCCAAAGGGCAGCGAGCTGCAGGAATCACAGCAGAGGTAGGTTTTATGGAGGGATTTAAAAGACAAAGAGGATTCTCACAGACAAACAGTGAATGAGGCTTTGACGGCTTACTCCCTTGCGTGCTTTGTTACACAACATGTCAGGTCTTATTTTAAAACACAGCAGCAGCATGTAGCAGAGGCTGTCACACCGTGATCAGGGCACCACCGGCAGGTGTACGGCAAAGGCAAACCACTGTGGACTGTTACTGAGTCTTAACACGGCAATGCATGGATATGCCCCCTGCTCGGTGAGCGTTCTGCCTTCCCCCACCCGTGTCCAACCCACCGAGCACATGACTCTGATACTGCTCCCAGCTAGGGAATTCCGCACAAGCTGTAGAGGCTCATACACTAGCACTCAGGGGTCAGTCTCCAATGATGACCACGATGAGGGTCAACATGTGGATGGAACCTATGCTTACAAATAAGCCCGCCAGTATCTGGTTAGAGGGTTACAAGGTACAGTGGCGACAAGGCTTTACTGCTGATTAATAGCCATCTCTGCCCCTTTGTATACTCTGCAGCAATTGTGCATAACGTAAATGGAGAAGAGATCATTGATTAATCCTGTGTATATGGTCCACTCATTTCCAAAAGGGAAACATCCCACTCTCTGCACCCAGAGCGTCCCAAAAGCCATAACAGTGTCAGCGTACATGGTGGAAGGCTAATGAGGAGGCCTGCCACCTTTTAGTCTGTGTCCTCTTAGGCAAAGTAACTGCATCTCCACATGGTGGTGTTTCCCTGCGGCCACAAGGCATCATCATTCCATGATGCAACGTCATGATATGAAGTCACGCTATCCCAGGCAATAGTTGAGAACTCTTTAATGTCAAAATTGGGGTTGTCCCATGGAAAACAGAAGACGTGTCAATTAAGCCTAAGTAGGGAACAGATAAGTGAGTGCAGGCCAGCAGTACCGACTCAAGACCCATGTTCTGATATTGCCGTGTCATTTATATGCGGAGCAGCATTGCAAGTTTATCATGGCTCCTCTCCATCTTTGGTGAGCTCAACAAGCCCCCGCTCCCTTCTCTCCTGCTTTTCCTTCCCTCTTCAGCCCCTCCCACATCACAGATTCCCCAGTGTTTTCAGAAAGCTGCATAATGGGGACGAGCCTCTCTGGATCTCAGCAGGACAAAGATTTCAAATTACACCCCCTTTTGGGGCTTCCCCGTAGGATGTGCTGTATACTAGATCAACAAAGCAAGGCCCAAGGGGAGACAGAGACAGAGACCTGCTGGGCTCTAGCTATCCTGTGGAAACATTGCACAATAGGCGTGTTTTCTAGGAGGCAGAGTGAAGAATAACTTCTTTACTTTGAACTGTAAGAGGAGTTCCGCTCTTTGTTTTCTCCAGTGGAGCCTTAGTGCAGTCAAACAAGTTCCTAAATGAATGACTGTCTGAGCACTCTACACTCCAGCAACAAGCACCATAAAGCCACAGAACTGGTTTTCTAATCTGTAGGATTGTACAATCAGCCAGTAAGGGCAGGAAAAAGACTATAGGGGTTATGCAGGAGGAAAGGAGATCTATTCTATCGCAACTAAAGCATATCATGGAAGGGCCATCCACCGCTGTACACTGTCCTCATCCATCTCCACTGGCTCGCCATTCACTCCAGGATCTGGCAAAAAGTCACCCACGTTCCCCCATGCCTTCCTCAGAGATGTTCCCCTATGCCTTGCCTAGAGCTGGCCTTCTCTATGTCACCACTGATGGTGTAAGAGCCTTCTCCTTTGCAGCTCCCAGCCTTTGGAACAACCTCCCCTTATCTTTACAACGTATGCATCCCATTTCAAACATGTTGCCTCTGACTTTCTCTGGCCTTTTTTCATGTTTGCAATATGTCAATTAAGGCTGTAAAGCATTTTGGCATAGAATTTTATGAAAGATGCTATACAGAGTAAAAACATAACCCTAATCTCACTGAAGCCAGTGTGAGCTTTGCCATTGACTTCAGTGGAGGAGGCTCATGTTCCAAAGCTGTATGGTAATCATTGTACTGTGCTGACAGACACTTACTGTACTTCACTGCTGGAACGGTACAGAGAACTCAGAAGCCACAAAGTCATGAGCTAATTGTGCTCATGACAAAACTGTATTTCTGCCACTGTTCCAAAATGGGTGGGGCCTGTGAACTGCACAAATGCCTGAGTATAGATTCTGGTATTTAGTGTCCATTAATGGGAACTCATAATTGTTATCACTGCTGTTAGGTTTTTGTAAATATTGTTACAGCCTTAGCTACCTGGCAGAACGCGCTCTAGAATGGCCGGCGAGGCTTCAGGAAAGAATACGCCGTCCCCTATAACATTAGGATCATACACCCTTGGCTGCTGTGGAAAATGTGGTTGCTGAAGTCCTTGGTAGCTGGTTGGTTTTGGCTGGGTTTCATGCAGAAGCTTCTTGGGAACTGCAAGAGAAGCACAACAAGAACAACACAATCGTTAGGATGGGTTATTTCAGCTGGGAATAAACTGAATTATTGCATTTTGCTACAGTTTCATCTTATATTTAATTATACTGTAAGCAGACCAAAGACATGCTCATTTACCACCATCAGGAGTGTGCTATGAATGCCTAGACAGCCAGATTCAATATCGGAATGCAAGGCACTGTGAACTTAGCAAGACATCATTTGATTTATAATGAATATTGTTAATTCTTTAGCTTGGTCTAAATATTTAGATGAGGTGGGAGGAGAAGATCTAGGAGGTGACACAAGTCTTTCCAAGACACTCTTTTAACATCCCAAAATGAAAAGCAATCAATGTTATACCTCCTGCAGTGCTATAGCACTGTTCTTTGCCAAGTGCTTTACTAACACTGAGCCCTTGTGAGATACATAAACACTATTCCCTCTTCTGATCCTTTACCTTAGCATATTATCTTTTCTTTCAAATGCTACTGAAGAGAAATTAAGGCAAATAATGAACCGTTCCTTTGTACAATTACAAACCAGCGTAACAGTGCACGACACTACAATTCTTGCTCTGGATCACAGATGTCTTAGTAAGAGCAGGGTATTTTTCTCCCCTCAATTACAAGGCCAGGTCCTCAGCTGTAAATCAGCAGTGTCAGTGGAGCTATCCAGATTTACACCAGCTGAGGATCTGGTCACACAGTAAATTAGCATTTGCCACACAGAGTCAGAACATCAGTTCATTTAGTCTGGTGGTGTCTCCAGCAGTGGCCAACAGCCGATGTAACTACAGAACATATGTGTCTTCCAGACATGTTAGGGTTAAGAAAACAAAAGTAAAGTCTCCATGAGAAAGTATAATATGTGTGTTCCTTCTGTGACACCCTACACTAAAATCAACACAAAATGGAGGTTTCATTTCTGCAGACAGCAGAGTCCTTGGAGATTTAAAGCTACAGGACACTGAAAATTAAGGTATAACTTTATTAGACAGCTAAAAACACCTTAAAGACAAGTGTGAAAAAGGACCTGGCCAAGTGTGCAACACTGCACGTGGAGGGAAGGTCCTTCCTGATCTCTAAGTAATTAGCTGACACCTTGAAGCAGGAGCTCTGATTGCCCTTATCATTATTTAGCCTGCACAGCTACAAAAACTAAGGATCAGGAAGTAATCCAGTCACCTTCCTTTACACTGTATTAGACTTGCTGTCTTTGCTGAGCCTGAGAACCGTAACTGCATTTACTGGCCACCCTTTCATGTTTGACAGCCCAGGCATCAGCACTTACCTTCTAGCATTATTAGTAGAGTCTCATCAGGTCAGGAAACAGATATTTAAAAAACCCAAAGCCCTAACTTGTAAATATCAACAAGCTGGCACAGTAGTTTCTGGAAAGAACTGGAGTGGCAAGACTCCTCTTCAGCATAGGCAGTAGAGGAAACACATTATCTGGGGGATAACTGAACAGAAGCCAGGGGAATGCCAAAGACTGGAACAGGCAGAAAGTCCAGGAAGCATGTAGGGTGGATTAAAAATAGTGTCTTGCAGCCGAGAGTGTCACAAGTAACTAACAATCTGTAGTGTCAAGTTTGAGATGCCATAAATGGGCTTGATTTTCAAAGGACAGGGGCTCAGCACCCTCTGAATATCAGATCCTTTAAAACAGCGGTTCTCAAACTGTGGGTCAGGACCCCAAAGTGGGTCGTGACTCTGTTTTAGTGGGGTCACTAGGGCTGGCATTAGACTTGTTGGGGCCGAAGCCAAAAGTCCGAGCTCCACTGCCCAGGGCAGAAGGCGAAGCCTGAGGGCTTCAGCCCTGGCCGGCAGGGCTCAGGTTAAAGCCCCAACCCACCCAGGGCTGATGCCCTCAAGCTTTGGCTTTGCCCCTTAGGAGGCCGGGGCTCAGGTTTCGGCTTTGGCCCCCTTGCCCGGGGCAGAGCAGCTCAGGCTTCAGTCCCTCTTCCCAGGGACTGAAGCCTAATTCTTGTTGTCAGAAGGGGGTCACCGTGCAATGAAGCTTGAGAAACCTGCCTTAACAAATCTAAGTTGGGCACCCGAAAATAGAGGCATCCAAAATCACTACTCACTTTTGAAAATCTTGGTCTGTCTTTGTATAGCAGCAGTGGCTGAACCTCGGATCGGGAGCCACATGCGGCTCTTTTACCGCTAAAGTGTGCCTCGTAGAGCCCTCCGACCGCCCCCCACACACACACACACACTCATCCCTTTTCCGCCTATGAGACTGGAGGGGGGAGCTAGGAGTTTCTGCCCCGCGGCGGGGTGGGGGGGCTAGAGGCTTCTGCCAGAGACAACTGGTGCCTGCTGAGAGTGGGGGGGCACAATTTAAAAGTTCGGCCTCCCCACCCCCCCAACAGCTTCAGTCATGCCCTCTCAGGCATGCCCCCCTTTACCCTCAGCGGCCCCTCCCTGCAGTTGCCAGGGGTTAGCTCCGCAGGGAGAGGCAGCGGCAAACAGCTGGGAGCTGCAGGGAGGGGCCTTTGCTTCAGCTCCGTGGGGAGAGCAGCAGCAAAAGCAGCGGCTCTCCCCGCAGCTCTGAGCTGTTTGCCGCTGCCTCACCCCATGGCCGCAGCTCCCAGCTTGCCGGATCCAGCAGCTGCTGTGCAGGAATGGGGCTCCGTGGCACCATGTGACCGAGCAGTGCTAGCAAACCCATGCAAAAATCCCCCATCCCATGGGAGAACATGTGGGGGATACACATGACCCCACATGTTCCCCCATGCATTGCTCCTGACTTCTGCCCAGCAGGGAGAAGGGTCTCGGGGCTTCAGTCCTGCAGGGTGCACCTGCTGGGGCTCAGGGCTTCAGCAGGAGCGGGGCTGAAACCCTGAGCTCTGGCAGACACGCCCCGGCTCTCGAACTTCTGAAGATTGTCGTATGCGGCTCTGAGGGTCAGTAAGTTTGACCACCCCTGCTCTAGAGTGTCTTTTCTCCCAAAGGGTCCCAGATTGCATCATGGATCATTACAGACTGTAAGGAAAGTTAGATTTAAAACAAAAATGAAGGAAAAGAGGGTAAAATTTCACATACATTTTTACAAAATTTGTTTTCTGTTTTTGGACCAGCTCTTCATGGCCTACAAGAAAGAATATTTTCCCACCCCACTGAAGTGCAGCCATCTCTGAGATGGAGCATAAGGATCCAGCCTGCCCCATTCTATTTCCATGTAAACAATCTGAATGAAATGTGGAAAACCACTGACCCCTTTTTCCTGAGCACAAGCAGGAACAGTAGAGCCAGCATTCCCCAGTTAATGCCTTGGCATCCAGGCCACCCCCCAGTAACCTGATCTCCTAGGAAATCCTATCTATAAGAAGTAAGAGTGATAAGCCTTCTCCTGAGCAGGAGAAGAACCTTATGAAAGCCGTCAGTAATTGATCAATAGCCTCCCATGAGAAGTGGGGAAAGCCTCATCATTTAAAATTGACTGCCTACTTGGGTAGATGGCACCCATCGCCATCGTATCTGGGCACCTCACAGTCTTATGGGTTGATCCTCATGATATTCCTTTGAGGGAGGGAAGTGCTATAATCCCCATGTGACAGATGGAGAACTAAGGCCAAAATCCTCAAAGGTATTTAGGCTCCTAACTTCCACTGAAATCAGTAGAAGAGAGAGACTAAGTAACTTACCCAAGGTCTCACAGGAATCCAGTAGTAGAGCTGGAACTTGAAGCCAGGTCTCCCAGGTCCCAGGCTAACACTCTACTCACCAGACAATCTTTCCTACCTAGAGGGGCTAACGCTCTTGGGAATATGCAGAATGGAAGTGTCCCGCACTGACAGGGTGGTCTAGGTGACCTAATACGAGAGGTCTTTTTTTGTCTAGTTTCCATGATGCTATGATAACATGTAGGGCAGATATCCTGAGTTAGAAAGAAAGTCAAAAAGCAAAAGCCCCTCTCAAGGTCAGCATCCATGCAATTTCCAGTTAGCTTCTGTGTCCCAGACGTCTGGCAGCCAGCTAGCCAAGAAAGATTAAAACATCTGGTTCCTTTGAAATGCACCCCTCAAGTTATCACAAGAGGAAGAGGAACTAATTTGACATAATGTGTGGTGTCCAGCTCTAGTGAGCTGTCAAGAAAAATAATTTACATTACACTTCTCATAAAAAAATGTAACTTGGATGTTATACTTATCTCAACATTAAGCAAAGGCATCCTGACAAGGCATGGCACACACACAGTCTGTACAGTTCAGTCAACTAATAGCTAAAGCAATCCAATCAAAAAAATGAGCAAAGCAAGTGGCATGTATAGGGAAGATTGGGAGAGGAAACGTTCTCCAGATAGTCTTCATCTGAAATGCTAACACACCTTGGTACCCTGGGTTCTACACATAAAATGAACATTAAAAATTGAAAAGGAGTACTTGTGGCACCTTAGAGACTAACCAATTTATTTGAGCATGAGCTTTCGTGAGCTACAGCTCACTTCATCATGATGAAGTGAGCTGTAGCTCACGAAAGCTCATGCTCAAATAAATTGGTTAGTCTCTAAGGTGCCACAAGTACTCCTTTTCTTTTTGCGAATACAGACTAACACGGCTGTTCCTCTGAAACCTGTCATTAAAAATTGAGTAACTCCAGGGGGTTTGTATAGATTACGAGACTGGTAAAGGGATACGGAAACTTTCACCTCTCAGTCTATTTAATCTCTCACATGGAGCACATGACTATGGTATCTAAGCACCTTCCAAAATTATGAAGCGTACACACAGAAATCTCAGATAATTTGAGCCCCACAGCCCAAGGCCCACGGGCTTGAGTCAGCTGTCCCAAGCCAGCCACAGTTGTGCGGCAGGGCTTTTATTCCAGTCTAGACGTACCCAGAAAGGAACAAATTTAAAAGCAGAGTGTGCAACACAGAACATGCACACAGCCTGAGTCATGCTCTTTAACTGCCCACAGCATGTTGGCACCACTATGTAACATGCTGTTTTCTACCTGCGGATGCTCTAGAATCTCTCTCATGGG